ATCAACTAATACAAATTTTAGATTATCAAATTGTTGAATGTTATTGCATATGATGGCAGATTTCTCTAAATTAATTAAGTAACTTTCTCAAGTTAAGTTAATCTTTCTCTGGTTTGTTAAATTAATTATATATCTCTATAATTTTAAACAAACTAATGAGCATTAAATTCTATGGAAACCTCTAGCTTAAGAATGGGGACCTCCTATCTCTCTTCTTTTCCTCCACTACCACATGTGAGTTAATTACCTCTCGGTCTCATAGTCTAGCACTCTGTTTATATTATTATTGGTTTAATCTATACAATTCTATCTTAAGTTCATGCATAAATCATTAAATCAATTGAAAGGTGATCAGGCTTTCAATGCATTAAATTCAATAATATAAACTCTTTGTGCAAATAACTTTAACTGAAAAAATAAAATCACAAAATCTATATTGAATTGATTAGGCTACATCGTAACCCTAGTAAAATAAATCAGTTCATAATAAAAATAATAAAGTTTGAAATTATAGTTATGAACATTCAAATATCAAACAATAAATAAAAATTCAAGGAAAAACAAAACCTAATTTGAAGAAATTGAACTCCTTGATCTTCTATTGTTGAATCCTTTCTCTTGATCTTCAAGAATGCCTACAAAAGGGCTGCCACCAGCCTCCACCTAACTTTCCTAATTCTGAATTTGGATGGGTATTTATAGGATTTTAGAAACTCTAATTGGAATAAAAGTAGGACTCGAAGCAAAATAAGAAAGTTGAAATTTGGATGCTTAACGCATGGTGTCGATACTCCAAATTACGTGTCGACACAAAACACGAAACAGAAAGTCTAATTCTAGACACTTAACGCATGGTGTCGACACCCCTATTTTGTGTCGACAGTACACTCGTGTTGAGTTTTTGGCCTTCTTTTGCAATTTCTTCAATGGTAAAATTGCAGATCTGTCCTCTAGTTTTTGTACAATGAGTACTTAGATCCCAAAACTCAAGATTCATTCATTAAGGTCCCAAAGAAGTGCCCTTCTTCTTGCAATTCAGTCCCTCAACTTTCAAAAGATGTTCAATTAATTACAAAACTCTTCTTTTATGCATTCAAGTCCTTTTCTGCACAAAGAATGAAAATTATGTAAAATCTCATAAAATTCATCCAAATATCAATAATATCAAGGCAACAATTCCACATTAATATGTATACAAATTCAACTCGTCAGTTATGTAACGGGGATGGGATGGATCCAATACTAAATAAAAAATAAAGAGAAATTCACCCATAAAATTTTTAATTTACACAAATAACTCATTATTTCATGTGCCACATCATGTAACGTCATCATTTCATTAATGACCAGTTAAGTCTGACTTTTTTAAACACCCTGGACGCTTAGGTGCCTATTTTTGTTGAGTTGGACACTACTGTAGTCCAAATCTAGCCCCTTTTTTTACGACGTGGCATTTTGCCCCCTTTTTGCATCTGGGTTTCACTTTAAATATCACAAATACCCCTTGAAATATTGTTTCTTCTCCGTTTTATCCTCCATACCAATTTATTAGTAGGACATACTATTTTGATTTCATTATTTTTTAATTAATGAATGACTTATTAAAATTTAATTAACTTAAATGGTGAAGGGCCATTTAGAAATTTAAATGATTGATAAGTAACACTTATTATTGCATATTTTTTTTGTAAAATAAAGAAAGAATCAATTAGAAGAAGAAGAAAAATTAGAGAAATAAAGTGAGACAATAAAAAGATATACTATATTTCCATTCTTCTCTTCTCCATTTGTTCTTCATACGTTTCCATACATTTATAAGAGTACAAGCCCTCTATAAAAGGGCTAATAAGGGGATAGGAGTTATAAGGAATTAACCCTCACTAAGTGGGAGGTTACAAGGATTAATCTTCTACTGATGGAGGAGTTCCAAGAAATCCCATTATCACCATCTGAATGCATGGTAGTGTTAATCACCATTGTAATTACATGAAGGTAGTGGAAGTTACACCATTACTCGATGTGTAAATGCCATAAAAAGTAAGGAGGTGAAAAGATGAAAAAGGTGAAACGTCCACAATGAATTGATTCATAACACTCCTCCTTGGATGTTCACCTCTTATTATATGCTTGTTAAATTGCCTAATTAAAAACCTTTCCAGGAAAAATCCCAGTGGGAAACAAAACCTTGGCAAAGGAAAAAAGAGTATAGTGTGTATAATACTCCTTCCGAATTCAATGTACATTCATAATTATGTAATTTATGCCAATCTAGTGTCTTAGCTGCTCAAAGTTTTAAAAGCCAATAATTTTATAAAGAGAATTTGTTGGCTTCTCACTTGAATAAATTTAATAGACACTATTTTATTATATATTTGGAATACTAATCCAAAAATATCGCCCAATTCTTGTGATTTTAATTCTACTTGGATCATCTTTTTTCATATTGGCCAACCATTTGCTTATCGACAATTTTCAATGAATTTAATTCAAGATCCTCATTTTCATTGACTATGTCTATCACTATTACATATGTAAGAATTTCTTATCAATAATAATTTCATTTTGGTTTCATCATCTCTCAGGAGAACCATAATTTATAAAGATCTCATCATTGTTTATAATTTCAACTTTCTCATTATTTTTAGGTACCTAAACCCTTTCTTAGGGTTATTTCCTCATAAATTCTTCAAGAGTTTTATGATTTCAACAATATTAACATTTTACTTATGCTTTCTCTTCATTTTTGGATTTTTATCCTTAAAACTATTTGTTCTAACATGGATTTAGCGTATACTCATTTGCTAATATTTTAGCAACTTTTCTAATAGGAATATCAATACAAGTAGGAGTACCTAAAGGTTAGATATATGATTTGCTACTTTCATTTCATCAATAGATGCATCCATCAATTGATAATATAGAATTTTGGAGTTTTAATTCATATTAACTTATTCAAGGATCATGGAAGATGCATCTCAAGTTTTTTGCTGCCTCCCCAATATTTATTCCTCTCCTACTAAAACTGGGAACATGATTCCTTTAGACTAACAATCAATAAATTTTGTTGTAAAAAGATCCACAATCAATCCATATAAACTTCCCGCCTTCTTTGGGATTATCAAGCCAGATATGCTTTCATTGCAATATTTCATGCTACTTAAGGGACTATTTTGTCACCTCCATATTCAAGCATATATTAATGTCATAATATATCAAAATATTTTTCAAATAATTGAGCGTAGGCTTATATAATCCCTTGAATCCAAGATAACAATAAAGGAGATTATATTTCAATTGTATTTGTAAAAGGCTTGTTAATCATATTCTTAGGGGATGCAACACATGAAAAATCACTTGATGGCCAAGTTATTTAGGCCCAAATCATTCTAGGAACAACTCTCAAGTTAGCCCTAATGTTTGATCCTATTCGTTTCATGTATGTAATTTAGAAGAGAAACCTTTTCAAATATGTGCCTTTTTTTACCAAATAGGAGATGTGACATAGGGGCTTTTTGTGCTTTTCCCATTCATGGTTTCAATATGATAACCATTATATATCTGTACCCTTAAAGTTTAATACATTCCAATACAATCTACTAGGAGACAACTAGTCACATATTTAAAAATTTTGTTTCTCCAAGCTGCAAAATTCAAGCTTTTCAAGAGAATTCAACAGCAAATATGGACAAGCTCTTTGAATTTTTTGATCAAGCTTGCAATGTGAAACATCACATTAGCTTCAAGCTATGTGTAATTAGGAAAAGTTTTTGTTTTTTGGATATTTCATCATGGCACAACCTTTTGCACATCGAGTTTTATTCCACTATTATACATTTTGTATAATAAGAGTGCATATATGCCATATTTTACTTATTACAAAGGCACCATTATACCTTCATTATGTGATAGCAATGTTTTACACATTTTCAACTTTCTACCTCGATTTCATCACTATAACAAGGATACCTTTTTTTCAAAGCATTTCTCCATCAATATGTGTTTATGGATGTTGTTGTAAAAGGTCAAACTTGAACTTGAGTAGTTTCCACGTCACCAAGATCCGCCTCAATCTAAGCACCCTTTAATGCCTTCAACATCCATTTACTAAAAGGCCCAGCAATAACTAATGCTGTAATACATGGCTAGGCCCAACAATATCTATTGCTACAATACATGATTACATCGCTAGACATACATAAAGAAGTCTCATGCCTTTATTATTTCCTTATTTATTAAATTTCATCATTTTCATCAACTAATCACTAGCTTTATATACAGGTCGTCAATAAACCCATAAATCTAAGCTCACAGGGATTATTTGGGATAAACTATGGGAGTAATGGCTTGGCATGCATGGAAAGATGAATGTTGCTCATCTGGTAAAGTGAGGCATTTGCGCCAGCCTAGCTTGGAGTTGGCAATGTTACCCGACTTCACCAGAAAGGGCTAGGTGGTGAAGACATGGAGGCTGGACTTGATCCCCAAAACTGCACCATTTGATGCTAACTAAAATCTTGGAATCTTGTTAGTCCCCATCAGTAAGTTGTAGTTGTATTTAATGCAAGGGTGGCTGCTCAAATTCCATGGCCTTAGAAACTGTTGAAAAAGATCACATTTTATTTGGAAAATCTACCAAAAATAGACAGTCTTCAGCAGATTAGCAATACTTTGCTAGAACTAGTGGTGCTTCGCTGGAACCACTAGATAATCCATAATATCATTGCCAAAAAGCTGTCAAAAATGCCCAAAGCCACTCAAAACTCGACAGCTCACTCAAATCTTCTCATTAGGCCATTGAACACCTCTAACCCATCGACCAAAAATTACAAAAATGTCACTACACGCATATACATTATTTTCCTTCATTTTTAGTAGATAAGAACATATTTTCGCAACTCCAACTTCCCTCTCACACACCAGACCTCCATTTTCCCTCTAAAAAAATCTTTCATCTTCAACCTTTCCACATATACATAAAAAATACCCAAAAATCACCATTTTCTTCATATTCTCTACACTTCTACACTACAAAATAATTTCCAGACTTATAGAACATCATGGCTGGGAGGCAGCATGCTTTAGTTTTAGCTTCTAGGTCATTTTTCTCAAGTATCAGTGGATCAAGCTGTAGAGTTAGCATTAAAATCGGGATAAAGCCCTCCATTGACAAGCCCCCACAATGGTCATCCTTCCTTCTTCCATCACTACTTTCAAGTTTATTCCTTTTGTTCTTTAGAAAACTTGAAGGAAATCATTGTGCTTTTCACCTACAACATGAGGGTCACTCATTATAGAGTAAAGTATTTGTTAGGGATAATAGAAGGCACATTCAATGTTATTATTACTATGTTACAATATACTATGTATAAATGTGCTTCTCAAGTTGTAATCTTTAATCTCTACATATATTCTATCCTTGTTGCTACTACTATGATGTTCACTTTTTTTTCATTATTTTTAGTAGTTGTAATATCCCAAAATTTTGGGGGTATTTTAGCATTAAATTGGGGACTTATTTGAGGAAAAATATTGTTTTGGGGCTTAATCGCAAAATTTTAAAAAGTTGAGGGGCTAAAAAGAAAGGAAATTAGGATAAGGATGAATTTCTTTTTCTTTTTCTTTTTCTTTCTTTTCTTCCTCACAGCCGCGTGTTTCTGCTTCTGCTTCCCTTCCTCCCCCGACCCTCTGCACCCGACGAGTCCCCCCAACTATCGCCACCCATTTTCCGGCCGGAAATCCGGCAAAGCTTGGGGATTTCTCCCTATTTTCTTGTCTTAGAACACCTGTTGAACCCATAAAATCCCAGATTTGTGTCTTCCTTCCTCTGTTGTCCGTCGGCTTCAACTCGTGGGTTTGAAATTTCTGGGCATTTTTCGGTAAGAATAGCCTTGAATCCCCCTTTTCTCTCTTGATTTAGGCTTGGGTTTACCTTGAATTGTGTTTTGGTTTTTGGATTGGGTAGCCGCGAGTTCCCCTGCAGAATTTCTTTTTCTCTGCCGTCGGCTTCTCCCCCCTGCTAGGCTCGGTTTTGCTTGCTAAATTTTGGTAAGTTGTCGGCTTTTCCAAGCTTAAAATTACCCATTTAATTGCTGGGTTTTGTCCATTAGTTGATGCTTTGTGTTGTCCGAGATTGTGCTAGAATTATGGGATGATTTTGGGTAGCATAAAACACGTTTTAAGCTTGGTTGAGGTAGAAATTTCTTGATTTAGTTGCTGTGTTGTTTGTAGGGAGAAAATCCCGTGAATTAGCTACTGTTTGGCCAATTTTGGAAGTGGCAGTACTGTTCACGTCGTGATCACTGTTCACGGGTACTGTTCATAGGCACTGTTCACACACCGAGGGTCAATAATTAGCGGGGATTTAAATGATTAGTTTGTGATATAAGAATGAATTTGGAGATGTCCG